GCGGACCCTGTTGCTGCTGCTGCTGCCCCAAGGGTTTCTGTGGTGGGGTGTAGGCATCTTGCTCGGGGCTTTCATAGGTGTCCTGCTCCCGCAGGTCCTCCTCCTCCTCCTCCTCCTCCTCCTTGGTGTAGCCTTCCTCGTTCTCACTGTAGTCCTCATTGAACTCTTCCTCCTCTTCCTCCTCCTCCAGATAAAGGTCATCATCCTCTTCCTCCTCCCAGCGGGGCGAGTCCTTGTGGTAGCTGACAGAGCTGTGGCAGGAGTGGTAGGAGTCGCCGTCCCGTTCCTCCAGTTCTGAGTCCCGCAGGCTCTCGTTCTCGAAGTCCTCGCTCAGCTGGGAGCTGCCCTGGCTCAGCTCGGCTGATGATGCATAGCGGCTGCTCCCTGTGGGGCTGCGGGGTGGAGGGGAGACAAGGACAGGGCTCCCGTGGGTCTGTGCCATAGCCATGCCTGCCCCGACCCCCGGGGTCCCTGAGCCGCGGGCAGGGGATGTGCGGCTCCCCCTGGGCACAGCCCTGGGTCAACACCAGGCTCCTTGTCCTGGGAGTCGAAGGCACAGACCCAGGAGACTCCAGGCTGGGGCACTCTCAGGGGGTCTGACCTTCCTGCCTCTGCCTGAGCTGAGCATGGGGACATGTAGAATGGTGTCTGCCCCCTTGGCTCACCCAGGCCAAGGGTGGGGGCAGAGCACAGCTGGGCAGCATCCAGCCAGATTCTGCCTCCTGATACTGCCAGACACCTCCGTCCTGTCCCCAACCCGCAGATCTGTCACCCAACCTCTACCCTGACATCTCGGTGCTCCCTGTAGACCTCTCAGGCACCCCCTCTCCAAGGACATCCCCTCAACCCCATCACTCCCCTTAACCACATGATCCCTAGCCACATGTACCCTCTCCACTCTTCCTGTCAGGCCAGACCCCTTCCCACCACCCCATCTGCCCCACCGGCCTCTGGCCCCTCCAGCAGCCCCCTCACAGCCACCTACACCTGGGGGAGCAGCGGCGCAGAGGGGCTCCCTGTGTCCCAGGAGGCTGCCAGGGACAGGGCAGCTGTGGGACTCCATGAGGAAAGGCTCACATAAGCAAACATGCAGACAGGACAGGGACATGCCTAGGAAGAGGCCGACACCACGTCTCCAGCACTGGCAGCCAGGGCTCAGGGATGGGCAAGGGGTAAGGAGACAAGGGGATGGGCATAGCCCTGGGCCCAGAGAGGCTGCACCAGGTGATGGGGGGCGAGGGGACACCGCAGGGACGAGGGTGCTGGGAGATGCAGGTCCCAGCATGGGAGGGGTACTGGCATCATCCAGGTACCTTGGAAAGGGGGACTCGGGGCACAGGGGTGCAGGAGACATGGCTCATGCCTGGAAACCCCCCAACTCCCTGGCCCAATCCTGGCCAGGGCCGGGAGAGGGGTCCCAAATGCAAGGGTCCCAAATCACTGCACAAGGCTTTTGCCCAGCCAGGTGCTCCCTGGGAGGTGACCAGAAACTGAGGATGGCATTTGATTCCCCGAGGCCCCAGCTCCCATACCCACTGGCACAAGGAGGAACAGGCAGCAGTGCTGACAGACAGTCACTGTGCCAGCAAGCAGGACCAGGATGCTGGGTTATCGTCCCCATGGACTGGGGCGCAGCAACAGCAAGAAGGGACACCACGGGGACGAGAGATGCCTGGAGCATCCCAACGCTGCTCCTCTGCAAGGCAGTCCAGGGCAGGAAGAGGGGAGACCCTGCAGCGGCACGAGGCCGCCCTTGCCAGGACTGGTGTTGGCCTCACCACGGCTGCAAGGACCGACCACAGCACTCTGCGACGGCACACGGCACGCGACGAGGTAGCGACCCACCTATCCGATAGGTCTAGGGACCGCCTGCTCTCAAGGGAAGGCTGGCGGCTGGTCCGCCTGCTTGACTCAGAAGCGGACTCAGCGTCGCTGCGTCCGTTTGCGGCAGAGTCTACGCTACCATAGCGTCTGCCGGGGAGGAGAGGAAGATGATCAGCGAGGTTCACGGGCACCGCGCCGTTGCCACCCACCGCGCCCTGGCATCCCCTGCCACCGCGGGGAAGCGAGCAGGGAGGCTGTGTCCTGGTGGACGGGGCTGGCACCTTGGTTCCTGGAGGAACTGGGCTGTGCTGCGACCATGGGAAGAGAGCACCAGGCAGGCGTCCCTGCCTGCAGCTCTGCCTACAGCCACATCTGCGTCACAGCCCAGCAGCTCAGCTCCCAGCAAGCACAGCTGGGGCTTGGGGTCCCAAAGCCCAGTGCAGACAGAGGAGGACAGTGACCCAAAAGAGCTTGAAAAATTTCCAGTGAGAAGGAAAGGCTTGGGGCCAGCACTATCACCCTCATCCTCACCTCAGCATCCTTCCCTCTCTCACCCACCGCCCTGGGAGCATCGTCCCTGGCGTCACCCTGGGGACCCGCTGGCCTCTGCCACCTGTGGGGGAGGATTGAGAGAGGACTCCCTGTGGCTGTGCCACTACCTGATGGGACGCTGGTCTGAGTAGTCCATCTCATAGCTCTGCATGGAGTCAGTGTAGGAATCACGGGAGCTCTGCTGCTGGTGCCTCATGGGGTACTGGTGGACTGAGGCGTTGGGCTGGGAGGTGGTGTAGTACGGCGGCGGGATGCTGTTGCTGGTCTCGCTGCGGTAATCACTGTCCCGGTCATCCACTGTGCTGTCGGGGTCATCATCTGCAAAGGGTTGCAGTGAGCGGGACAGGGGATGGCCCGGCAACTGTTGCAGCCACAGATTCCCCAAATCTGCCCCACACCCAGCACAGCCCTGTTACTGCCAACACTGTGTCCCCATTGCTGAGGGATCATGCTGGGGAGATGGACCCAGGCAGGGGTGCAGGGCAAACTGCACATGTTTCCCTCTGCAAAAAGGGATTTTGGAGGACAAGGGGTGGGCAGAGGGGGAAATGGGATATACAGAAGGGGGAAAGAGGAGGAGAGGGAGCTGGGACCTTTCCTCTGTCCCACTGATGTCCCACCATAGAGACAAAGCCCGAGCTGCTCATTGCCACCAGGGCATCCCACAGGCACAGAGCCTCACCCTGCCATGTCCCCACCAGCCTGTGGGGACAGCCCTGCCCAGGACAGGGTGCTCGGTGCCCCAGTCCTTATCCAGCACAAAGCGAGGCCACAGGCTGGACCTGAGCCCCAGGTCCCCTGAGCCCCAGGCCAGGCTTCAGCACAGCAAGGGGTGATGCACTGAGCATCACCAGGCTGGGAGGAGAGGATGGGACAAGATACTTACTCTGCTGTTCTCCCCAGCCAAAATAATTCCAGTTGCCTACAGAAAAAAAAAAGGGGGTGGGGCAGAGACAATAGAATCACAAACTCATTTGGTTGGAAAAGACCTTTAAGATCATCGAGTCCAACCATAACCTGTTCACCACTAAACCATGTCTCTCAACACCTCATCTCCTTGTCTTTTCAGTCCCTCCAGGGATGGTGACTCCACCACTGCCCTGGGCAGCCCCTTCCAGTGTGGCAGCAGGAACTGGCTGGGAGGAACCGGCATCTCCCAGGCATGGTATCACGGAGCTGGGCTGGGGACAGCGCCCCAAGATGGGTTGGGAACAGGACCCAGGATGGGGCACATTGACACTGAGCCGTGCCTGGGACAGGTACTGCGGCTGAGCAATGCAGTACCAAGATGGGCCAGGGACAGGGGCCTAGGGATGGCAACAGTGACACTGAGGGGCACTGGGGACAGTGCATGGGCCTGGGCATGGTGACACCAAGCCAGGCTGGGGACAGTGCCTGTGGCTGGGCATGGTGGCTTTGAACTCACAGGGAACAGGGCCTGGGGCTGGGCATAGAGGCACTGAGCTATGCTTGAGTCAGTGCCAGGCTGTGCAGGGCCATGACATGACTACAGAAGGGGAAACTGAGACACAGGTTGGGGCAAACTGAGCTGCCAGCGCAAATCCCCCAGACCTCTCTGCCAGTGCTCCCACAGAGCAGTCCCCTCACCAGCCTTGCTGCCCCTCACCTTGGCTCCCCAGGGGACCGTCCTTAACAGCCAGATTGGCATGGTCCCATTCCCCTTTCCCCTACAGCTCAGCCCCACAGGAGGGTTCACACACTGTGAGGCAGGGAGACAGCAAAGAAACACCAGCAGACACGGGAGGGAGAATGGGAATGGGAATAGGGACGGAGGGTGGGGTGAAGTTGAGCCCCACTTGGGTTGGGGTCCAGCACCCCAACGTAAGCACAGACCCAGCTCATGCACATCCCCAGTGCACTGGGGGGACAGGGCAGTGGGGGGGTCCGGCAGCAGGGCAGGGGCAGGGTAGCACTTACAGCACTGGGAGCTGTGAACGGGCAGAGGCTTTTCCTGCTCCTCCTGGAAGGCGTACTGGGGAGAGACAGGGCAGTGAGGGCACCGCTGCCCTCAGCCCAGCCCTCACCCCAACTCTGCCCTCACTTACATCGTCCTGGTCCCGCATGGCATTGAGCTGCTCCAACTTCTTGGCCCAGTACCTAGCCTCCTCCTCAGGGATATCTGCAAGGGCAAAGACACCGATCGGTGCACAGACATTCATTCCCACTCAAACACTGCCTCAGCTTCTGGGGCTACAGCATCAGACCCCCAGCCCCAAGTCCTATGAGCATCCCTGACCCCCCAGTCCCGGGGCGCCCAAGGCCGGTACTCACCCAATGGCAACTCAAAGCGGGTGTCAAGGAGGATACGGTGGAAAGTGGGGTCCTTGGTGCCCGAAATCTCGTTGTCGGTCATGATGACCTGGGAGTCGAGTGTGAGCCATTCCCCAGGGCCCTCCTGCAAGGTGAAAATGAGGGTGAGGAGAGCTGCCATGGACCCCCCTTCCGCAGTCCCACCACCCCACATGCACAGGGTCCAACCTTAAGCGGGGTCCTCTCCAAGTGAGGCTCTGCTCCCTCTGAAGGGCAGCCTGGGACAGGGGGGTGGACGTGCCTGGCTCCCTACCTCATTGGACTGCCGGATGGTCCGGAGCGGGATCCACACTGTCCCCACCATGGTGTCCCAGATGAGCCCCTTGTTCCACACCTCCACTGTCAGGCCCAGGTCGAGCCGGTTGATCTCACTGGGGAGGAGGGAGAGGTGTCAGGTCAGGGACTCTTCCCCCGTGGCTGGGGTCAGTGGCTGACCTCGTGATGCAGGGAAGCAGCAGGGGTTGGGGACGCCGGGGTGGCCCCTGGACACTCACAACATGAAGTCCTGCTCCCAGGAGGGCAGGTTGCCCCGCACAGCGATGGTTGTGCTCTTGACATTTTGCACCTTCAGCGTCACGTAGGTGTTAAACTTCTCTGGTGGAGCAAGCAGAGGGTGAAGTGGCCCCAGTGCCCTCCCACCTCACCCTAGCCATGCACCCATCCACCCACCACTGTGGGATACCCCCCTCAGCACCCACCTCCGTCCGCTGCCAGGAGCAGCTTGGCTGCGAGCCCCCTCCATCCCACCCAGGGCACCCCATCT